TTAGTTTTCGTCCAAAATCCCCCTGTATGGGGGACAGGCCCGACCTAACAGTAGATTTCGGAATCCAGGTCCAGGCCCCTGAGAACTCCTCAGGACTGAAGACAGGCTCCAGGGATGAGGCAAAGGGCCTGAGGACACGCCCACTCCGTGCCCAGAGGCATGGTGGCTGATAAGTTGTTAGAGCTCCGCGCGGATTCCTTGGATCGGCGCTAAGTCCCCTTGGCGGAGCCTCTGGCGCCGGCTCTGGCTGCCCGCTCCGCGCACCTGAGCGACAGCGCCGATTCGAGAAGTTAGCCTGGGCATCTGGACGTTTATGGTCATGCCGTTTGTTCTTCCTCCCCAGGCTCCCTCGCGTTGTGGAAAAATCACGACGGGAGGTTTTTTGCTATTTTCGGCCTCTAGGGGCCCGTCCTGGGCCTCGGGACCGTCAAAAGACGACTCAGGGCGAAAAAGCGGTCCTGAGGAATGTGTCGAGACATTTGGGGGTCGACGTGAAAAAATGATGGCGTCTGGGGTCTGGGTCTACCGATGCTCTCAATCACAGAACCACCGCAGATGTGCAGATGTTTGTTCCTATGATATGGTGAGGATCACTTGGACGCGCCCCTGCGTCTGGAGAACGAGACCTACGGGGACCGCCCGCTTGAGGAGGAGGGGAGACAGTGATCGCAATGATCACCTGCTTTCAAGCGCAACCGTCTTCTCGCTCGTACAGTGCCTTGTCGGTCTCACCCCGACGCCTTTTGACCTATCTTACGGCGCGTGGCGGCATCCACGTGTTGCACAAGTTGTGGTAGCATGCTGTTCAGCAAAGAGGAGCTTCTTCTGAGAAAGAAGTGATGCAGCTTGTCTGCCAGCGATGACGAATTCATGCCACGTCCACCACATGCCTCTTTACATGCCTCTTGCGATGGAGTCTCAGACTGATACGAGATTGATACGAGCCTGTGTCCGTGCGCGCTTCAATGGGAGTTGGTACAGCCCCCATTCTGGGAAGCGGATTCAACACAGCAGTCGAGCAGATCTCAAATTCTTCTTGGCCATCTTTGTTTGGCCGTGCCGAATCGGAGCAGGGGCTGAAGTTGGTGAGCGCTTGCAGTGGAAAAACATCGCGCCACGTCCACCAGCGCCCCTCGGAAGGGAAGCCGCGCAAGGGCTGCTAAACCCGTGGCTGCTACAATCGACCTCCGGGAAGTTGTCTTCGCCTTTCCGGGAAGAAGCCCGTCGATTGCTTCGCGTGCCGCACCCTCCTTCCGGGAAGTCTTGTTTTTTTTCTTCCGGGAGGGCCGTGTTTGGCAGCCACGGCTCTGGCAGCCCTCGCCCAGAATGAGCTCTCGAGCCCCAGCTGCTCTCGCGGGGAAGGGCCAGCCTGCGGCCTCTCGGGGGTTATACTCGGGGGTCCCGAGGCGGGTGTCGGTGCAGACGGGTGCTCCTCTTCGCTCGCTCGCTCGCTCCTCCTCCTCGTCGCTCCTCCTCCTCGCTCCTCCTCCTCCTCCTCCTCGCTCCTCCTCCTCCTCCTCCTCGTCGCTCGCTCCTCCTCCTCCTCCTCCTCCTCGTCGCTCCTCCTCCTCGCTCCTCCTCCTCGCTCCTCCTCCTCCTCCTCGCCAGTCGCGAGCTCGGGGGCGCAGAGGGTCAGCCAGTCACCAACCCAGCCATCCCTCCAACCATCCAGCCCAACAGTCAACCCGCCAGCCAACCAGCGAGCCTTCCTACCAAGAGCGAGCCACCGGGCCTATCAGGGACGGGGCGCCGGCAGCAGAGGGAAGAACACTGCATGTCAAGAGGGTTCGCACCCACCTGCCATTCGCAGGTGCGCTGAGCGTGGATTCGTCGAGGCACGAGCAACCCGCGGTGACGTCGGCGGGGCGGCAAAGGCTTGTTTGAAAGACTGTCGGTTGCGAGCCATCAACTGCGCTTGATGACGTGTGGTCGCAATGATGACGTCGTAGCAGAATCCAGAGCGCTGCATATACACAGGCCGCTACACACTACAGAACTCACCCCTGAAAGCCACCCAACCATAAGGCTGATTGTTTGTTCGAGGTGCAAAAGCCCAGGTGTATTTCATCCTAAGCCCTCCACCCTAAGACAATGCTCAGGCAAACGGGGGTCAGCCAGAGCGCCGGATCTTGCAGGATCCTGCAGGGCCAGGATCGCATTGCACCCAGGTTTGGGCGCAGGATCCTGCAGGGTTTTGCAGGATCCTTCACGTTGGCCCGGGTTTGGGTGCAGGAACTTGCGGGATTCTGCAAGGCCTGACTGACCCGGGTCTGGATTGACCCGGGTCAGGAGATCCCTGAGGTATCCTGCGCTACGCTTAAGTCGGCCATGTCGGGAGGAATATTCAACCATCCATAGTCAAAAGATAGTCTGGAGACGATAGACGTTTTTTCGATTATTTTCAGTATTTTTGAACACCTTTGGCTATTTTTCATTGTTCTTCCAATATCCGCCTCCAGGAGGACACGCCCGACCTAAGGCTAGTTACGCCTGAGAGCACACCTGGGGCACTCCGGAAGACCTCTCGGGGCCCGTTTCGGGCTCGCTCGGGGCTCTTTGGAGCCCCCGTGGATTCCCAGGAGTGTTCGCGGTTCAGTCGGTTCGGCTGCGTCGCCGTCGGCTGCGTTCGGTCGGTTCGGATCGGTCCAGTCGGTCGTTGTGTCGTTGACGAGTCGCTGCGACCTTTTAGGCTGCCTGCGGCCGGTTTCGGTTTCGCCGGTTTCGGTTTCGCTGTCCGTTCGGTTTCGCTGGTTGGTCGGTTTCGGTTTCGGTTTCGGTGTCGAGTTTGGCCGGTTTCGGTTTCGCTGTCCGTTCGGTCGGATTTCGGTCTTGTTGCCGCCGTGCACGGCTCCGATTCTAGGAGCCACTTGTAGACCCACTGGATTTCGAAATGGCGATGCTGAACAAAAACTTCGAACACGTAGTGGTGTCTGGTGGCCCTCGCATGTTGTTGGGCAACGTTTGCAGCTTGCTGGACTATATTCGGCAACGGTACGTCTTCATGGCATGTCCCTTGGCACGTCGCCTGGCGCGTCCCCTTGGGATGTTCCGCGGCGCGTCCTCCTGGCATGTCCGCCTGTCAATTAGCTCTGGGGCAGCTACTATGTGCTCAGGCAGCTCGAGCTTAAGATCCAGATCAGTTCGGTCAGGACTCGGATGCAAAGGAGGACTCAATCCACAACGCTATAGAGCACACTCGCGGCATGGCACATCGCAATTCAGCACGGCGCACAACAGCACAGCCCTCGGCACAGTACATCAAGATCGATACATTCAACGTTGCAACCTGGGACGTTCCCAGGACCGATACATTCAGCATTGCATTTGCCCGTCGCCCAATCAGGTGTGTATGAAGCGATGACAAGCCTTACATTTCTATATTCCTTTCCGGGTTCGTGGTCCGATCATGTTTACGAGGGGTCGTGGTTTCGAGGACGCGAATACCGCGTAATTTTGGCCTCGTGGGTGCGAACACAGCGTAATGTACGAGGGATGGTTGCGTCGGGAGCGCGAATCTCAAGTATTTTTACATGTCCCAGTGCCTCCCATAAATTCAGAGCACGCGATTCGGGGGTGCTAAAAAAAGGTTGGTTTCGGCTCCCCCCCTCGCGCGGACAGTAACAATTTACAGTAAGAAGCAGACAGCAATATTGTAACATTGGAAACTGGAAACTGGAACTGGCGCAGGGAGCAGCAAATTTAATCCTCGCAGCCTGATGGCCCCGCAAGGGGGCCGGCAGATTTATGAGTGTTGCTTGACTATGTCTTATTTCTCTTCCAAAATCCGCATGCCCCACCCATTCTGACGTGTTGAGAGTAATGTGGGCCTCTATGGGCTTTTCGGGAGCTTCTTGAAGGCAAGCTGGGGGTCTTGGGAGCCATCTTGGGGGCAGGGCTCCGAAGGCTCATTCGCTTGCCCCCTCTTTCCCCCATCTGGGGCTATTGGAGGTCTCTGTGGCCGTCATGGGGACCTCCTTGGCCGATTTCGGGCACGTGGGGCTGCCGAGGGGCTCTCTACGGGACCCCTTGGTGCTATCTCAGGAGCTTTGAACGTGCCTTGGACGTTCGGGAGCCCGAAGAAGCGAGAACGCCAACGTCGTCGAGAGTTGAGAAAACACCAGAATCTGCTCCTCTGCAAGCCCGCTGGGGGGTCCTCGTGGAGCCTGGGGCGTCCTGTCTTGGGGATATCCGCGGGCCGTGTGGAAGCCGTCTTGGGCTTTGTGGGCCCCGGAAACGGCAGGGCCGGTTTTTCACCGTTTCAAAAACTGTCCCTTGAACATGGAAACGGCAAACAAACGGCGACCGGAAACGGCAAAAAAACAGCTCCAGGTTTGGAACCGGAGCCGGAACCGGTCAAGAAACGGCGACGGAACCGGTACCAAAAACGGCGTCGGAACCAACAAAAAAACGGCAAAACGGAATTGGTATAAAAAAGCAACAAAACAAAACAAAAAAAAAAACTGCCCTGTCGTTTCCAGGGCCCACTAAGTCGGCAACACCCCAACATACTTATACTATATGTGCGTCGCCCCCCCAGGGGCGACGCGCGCACCGAGAAATCTTATAGTATATGCGTCGTGGCGTGCGCTTTCTGGCCACACCCCTCGGGAAACGATATACTACAAGATGGGTATACTACATATTCGGGTCGGACGCGCGCCTCCAAGGAGGACATATAGTATTAGTATGTCCATGTGCGTCCCAACTAAGGTCCTGGGGTCCTCTTGGGCGTCTCGGGGCCCTCTTGGGCGATCTCGGTCGGGGCCCTCTCGGGGCCTTCTCGTGGCCAGCCTGCGGGCTCGCCGGGCGCCTGCGGGAGGCAGGGGCCGCGGGGCCTCCCCTCCCAGAGCTGTTGGACTGCTGGTCGTTTCCAGCGCCAAGTCGGGCCTGTCCCTCCCCAGACCCCCTCGAGTCATGAAAAAATCACGACGCGAGGTTTTTCGCTGTTTTCGGCCTCCGGGGGCCCTTACTGGCCCTCAGGACCGTCAAAAAACGACTCGGGATGAAAAGCCGGTCCCGGGGAATGGGTCCGGACCTCTGGGGGTCGCGTCATGAAAAAATCATGACGTGGGGGGTCTGGGTCCACAGGGGGGAAGTTCGAACATAGTCAACGGAATAGTATGGCGACGATTTGCTTTATATATTTTTGTGCATGCTTTGACTCGTTTTAATTTTTCGTCCAAAATGCCCCTGTAGGGGACGTGCCCGAATATCGAGCGCCCGAAGCATATTATGCAGGGACCCTGGTGGAGTAAGGAGCACGAGCGCAATGCGCGCGGGTTGCGGTACCACACTCACCTCACATAAGAGGGCATGGACAGAACAGCTTGGCAGCAGGTGCCCCGCGAAGGCTTCTCATCCCAAGGCGGCACCAAGGAAACACAGAAGCCCAAGGTCACCCCAGGACCCTCAAAGATGGACGAAGAAGTTACTCCAGATTTCGTAATAAAGGGAGGGGGGTCTCATTTCGGGGGGGGGGTTGGAGGGTTCTCCCACGGGGGAGGTCTGAAATGGCTTGTCTTGGAGGGTCCTGACCCCCTCCCTTTTGTTACGAAATCTGGAGTACCCCACCGTTTCCCTTGGCAAGCTGTAAGAAAGCATGTGCCTACTGTTCTTCAGTGGGGTCATTTCTCGCTTCGCAAGAGGCGGTGCAATGGTAAAGCAAATGCCCGACATACACACACACAAACAAAATCACACACACACACAAACAGACACACAACCACGTTCTTTGGCGATCGCGGCCTCGCGCGCAGCGAAGGCGGAGCAATTCGAGCAAGCGGCACGGAACTAACGCGCGCGGTTGGGCCTTCAGACGCGGGACCAAATCGTATCGACCGCCCATTAGCCACCTTGGCGTGGGTGGCGAGTGAGAACATTGAGACAGCGCCAGGAGACGGTGACGATGAGTATGGCGACGTCCAGTCGACAGCGACAAGACAAAGGGAAGGAGCGCTCAGAGCGCGTACCGGAAGACCAGACGACCTGCGGTGCCGACAAACGACGAGGAGGAGCCGCGCGTGGGCTTGTGGTGCCAGCTTGGCAAGAAGCGGCCCGCTCGCCGAGGCGCGAGGTGAAAGAGAGGGCCCGCAACCCGAGAGAGATGCGGGACCGGGACATGCACCCGGTCGCCACCAAGTTGGCGCCCGGGGCGGGGCGGAGCTCCTAGGGCGAGGAGCCCGGGACAAGTCCCCAGCGGGGCCGCGCTCTCGAGGGCTGGATTCCTCGGCTCCGCGGAGCGCCAGCGTGCGCGAATCGGGGCGGAGCACAGGCGAGGAACGCGAGGAGCGCGGATGGGCCTCTGCAGAGCTCGGGGTCGGGCAGGGGCCCCTCGCGTGCGCCCCTGTCCGGGCCACTCTCGAAGGCCCCCTCGCGCCAGAGAAGGGCCGCCCGTGGAGCGGAGGGGGCATCCCCAGCGCGGGTGGCGAGGGCCCGACCGACCGGGCTCATCCGAGGGAGCATGGCCGAGGCGTTCGGCGGCAGCGTGCCCGTGGGCCCGTCGAGTTCCCGCCGCTGCGGTGGGGGGGCCCCCTCGGGCGCAGCGTCGAGGTCGACGGGCCCGTGCCCGTGCCCTGGGGGCAGGGAGAGGTCCGGATCCGGTGCAGCTGCCCGCGCCAGGGGATCCACGGCGCTGGGGTGCAGGCGATTGCGAGGGCCTCCAGTGGGAGCCAGCTGGGCGCGCGCCGCGGGCTGCTCGGGAGGAAGCCACAGGGGAGGCGCAGGGCGACGGCCTTTGGCGCCTCCAGTGGAGGAGGAAGCGGGAGCCTGGGTTGGAGCCCCTTCGGCTCCGGCGCCTGGCCGCGGCCGCGCGAGGGGCCGCGGGGTCGCGGGGCGGGAGTCGGGGGGAGGAGGCGGCGGCAGATGCGGGGCGGGCTCAGAGCCGGGTCTGGTCGATGGGAGTCGGATATGGCGGCGAGGCTCTGGTCGGGGGTTGCGGTGTGTACCCCTGGCTCGGGGTGCCCCCAGCTTTTCGCTCAAGTTTGAAGCCCTTGGGGTGCTCTGGAGGCCGCGGGGGCCTCCTTGGAAATCCTGGGGGCACCTTGGGCCAGGGACACTTCTGGCAACACCCGAGATTGGTCGGCCCAGAGCACCCTCCGCGCTGGGGCAGACGTACCACCCTCTGCCTCTTCTGCGACCGGGACGGGGAAAGCAGATGTCGAGCCGAGAAGAGCTGCGCCCCACGGCGTCCCGGCGGCCGTCCCTGGGCTGCGCCTTGATAAGCATTTTGGCGAGGTCGCGTTGCTGCCGGAGCGAGAGAGTCCTCCAGTCGTCCCGACGGTGCGGTTCCTACCCGTCAACGGCCGCGGCCTCGAACTCTGGGTGGTTGAGCCTGGCGGAGTGAGGGAGCCTGGCGGGAAGGGCGCGGTGAGGAGTTCGCGCCACGCGTCGGGTTGCCCAGCGCAGGTCCGGGAAACCTGCAGGCGCGCCAGGAGGTCTTGTGGCGGGAAGGAAGTGGCGGGGTCGTAGCCGCGGGGACAGCCTGACGGTGGAGACACATATACACACACACACACACACACACACACACACACACACACACACACACACACACACACACACACACACACACACACACACACACACACACACACACACACACACACACACACACACACACACACACACACACACACACACACACACACACACACACACACACACACACACGCACACACACACACACACGCGCACACACACACACACGCAAAAACGCACACACGCACACACACACACACACGCAAACACGCAAACACGCATACACGCACACTGTTTGTTGGCGTCGCGGGCCTGCGCGCAACGACAGGGCAGAGAAGGTGGAAAAGCAGCCACCGCGTACGCACACACACACACACTGTTTGGCGGTCGCGGCCTCGCGCGCAGCGTCGAGGCGGAGAGGGTCACCGAACGGGCGGGCGCGCGCACGCGGCGGACCCCCTCAGAGAGTGCAGGGGTCCGTGCTGGATCGACCGTGCCATGTGCTTGCGGTAGGTGCACGCGGCGTTGGCGCGCCAGCGACGCTGGCGGAGGCGTTCGAGGTTGAATTCCTGCGACGCGGAAGCACCGAGGAACACAGTTTTACCGTTGGACCCGACGGGATTCAACCTTGAACGATCGGGACCGCGATCGCTCCAAGGTTGAATGATCGATGTGGTTTCAAAAACCTTTGTGCGCGCCGACGCCGCGCGAACCTACCGTACCCGGGCGCGGGCAGCGAGGGTTCAAATTCTGAAAAAAACAAGCGTTTCGCTAGGGACATCCTCAAAAATAATTCCGCCGGCCCTTTTCCCCACGTAATTGATCGCAGAATAATTCCGCCGGCCCTCTTCCCGTCGATTCCGGGGGCAAACTTCTAAAAGAGAACCCTGGGCTCGCGTACCTCCCAGACGCAGAAAGCGTTCGTGGTGCCATCACCGCGATGGCAGTGCCATGTCAGCGACGCAAAAAAAACACGGTCTCGGCTGTGCCGACGTTCGAGCGTCAGTTGCCCTCGTGAGGGCACGCGCACGCGCCCCCTTTTCCACGCGGCGTGCCCTGCGTGCGGCCCGCGCAGGCCGCGGTGTATGAGGTCGCCGATTCTGCCACCTCGCGTGGGGCCCGTTGTTTTTCGTCGCTCACGTGGGCGCTGTCACACAGCTGCCGGGACGTCGCCCGATCCGCTCCCGGGGCCGAGGGCAGAGAGAGGAAAGGCAGGAGGCAAGGGAGTCCTGTCTCCACTTGCCGCACCCAGGACTTGATGATCATGCAGTGCCGCGAGGGCTACGGCGATGGCATGTTGACAAAAAAGACCTTGTCCGCCATGCAGGAGCGCGCACATGTCACTTGCAGTGAACTGGCGATCTCGGTTCGAAATATCCCTCGAGGCGCGCCCGTTCACAACACATTGTACCTATCCTTGGCCTTTCGCGTGAATCGTAACTGCTTGCTCGTTTTCGCAAGTAAATGTCCCGATGATTGGTCCTCACGAGCCGTTTTATGTGATGCGTCATCGGTCGCAACATCAGGAGTTGTTAGGCCATCGTGGGCGTCGTAGCGTTTACCTTGGAATGCCTGTGAGGTGTTAACGTGCACGCGCGAGTGGCGTATGGATATGGTCGCATTGCCCCGCATACCCTCCACATAGCTTGGGAATTCAACCCACTGCCCCATAATGTACCACCCCCCTTAACCCCCTGTGTCTTTCTTATCCCGTGTCAATCGGATTCAATTGTGGAGAGGGGAGCGCAGGCCGAAGTTGATAATCACCGGGGAAGATTCGAATCGAAGTTGTTATCACCCTTTGTTTACTAGCAACTGCATCGAAAACGCTGAGCATGGCAATGATGGTCTCATCATTTCAGCTTCCGCAACCACGAGCGTGCGGCAGGGCTATAGGGTTCTCACCATTTCAGTTTTCCCAAGTCACGAACGTGCGGCCGGGCCATGGGATTCTCACTTACTCAGCCGTTCCCGAGTCATGAACGCGTGGCAGGGCCATGGGGACCGATTGGATTTTGAAGTTACATGCGTTGATCGAGCAGGCAGAGCATTGGAGTTACTTTTTTAGCGCATCCCTCACACGGTTCGAGGTCGTGCGCAGGTTTCTTGGCCAGGAGCGCTAAGGACCTTGTCTTGCGCAGGCAAGTTGTAGTCACGAAGCACGAAATCTCTAGAGTCAGTCCTGTGCCAAGATCTACAAGGTCAGTCTACACGAGCGCCCAGGATCATCGTCATCAGCATCATCATCACCTTCGCCGGGAAAATCATTGATTATCCCCGCCAGACCCCCGACATTTTTTATCCCCAGGGGATTGTTATCCGGAGCACTCGGTTACTGGGTGTTCCGTGTCGTCGCATGAAGGTATCCATGTCTTGGGCCGTGTCCTAGCGCGCCCGTCTTCTGGTTTGCAAGGCGGTTCCTGGTTGTTTTGGGGGGATCTTTGTCCAGCAAGTGCCGCGCCTTCCTGTTTTTTTTTCTGGGTGGCCGGCGGGCTGGGCCGGAAGGAACCCCAGGGGAGAGTCTTCTGGGAAAGAGAGCCAAGACCAACATCGAAAGGATCCAGCACGCCATGCACCCCTGTGGCAAGACCACAGGGGGCGGCGGATAGACTGACCATCGGCCCACCCCGCCACCGTGTCGTGGACAAGGGGCCGCTTGGATGCCTCCTGTGGCCTCTTTGGGGGGTTCAAAGGGGGTGTCACGGAGAAACATATGGGCATCTTGTTGTTTTTGCTGGGGGGGATACCCGACCGCAGGATTGCGCGCTTTCTTGAGCTGACCCCCCTCCGAGAGTGTCCGAGAGGCACCCAAGAGAGATCCAGCACGGACCCCCGGGAATATCCCATGGCATGTTGGAGGTGGGTGCGAACCAAGCAATTCAGCAAACAAGCGACACCACCCCACCTACGGCCCCCCCGATGTTGGACCTCATGCACCTTGCCCCCCGCGTCGTTTTTGTTTGGCACCGCGAAAACCACGCGGCGGAGTCGGGCAGCAACCGCACAACGCAGGCGTCGAACGCCGCTTGCACACCATTCGCAGCAGCAGCGGCGCGGGTTCTGGCTGCTGGCCGCGCGAGGTTCCCGTGCGCAGCTCATGCGCCGCTTGCGTCGGCAAGCACCAAATGGTGTTGTTCGGCACCGCCCTTTTGGCACCCTTAGTCCAACTCAGCGCAACGATCTGCGCGACATGTTGTCCGATGGCATGCTTCAACAAACATGTTGGCCGCTGGCTGCCGCCGCCGCGGGAGCCCTGGGGGCCGCCCAGGGGTCTTAGAAAATACCATCAAGATTGGATTGATTTTTGGATCGTGCACGCCGCGGCCCCCAATACTTGCCTGCCTGCGTGTTGGTCCCCCTCCTCCCCCTCCTCCTCGGCCCCCCTCCTTCTCTCCCCGCCGTCCCCTCTCCCGAAATACCGCGCTGGAGCAAAACATGCTGCACGCCACGGCCCCAGGTGGGATCTCTCAAATCGGCCGAGCGGCCCTGAAAATACTGGTGCCCTCTCCTGGGATCTCACGGGCCCTGCGGAGATGGGTGCTCGGCGCCTCCGGCCGTGCCCGAGGGTCCAGTGGCCGCCGGGACCGAGCGGATCACCGTCGTCGCGCTGAGCCAAGTCACCGTTTGCCGCGCGCGACCAGACGCCCGCATTTCCGGCGAAGCGGCCACGCCAATGTCTCGCGGCGGCGCCATCCAAACGGGCGGCGAACGCGCAACAAACTGACCTTAAGTCGGGCTTGTCCCTCTACAGGAGGAAGATTCAAACATAGTCCAAACAATAGTATGGAGACTTGTTTTTGGTATGTTTCGACCACGTTTTGCACATTTTGGAGGTGTGTCTTATTTTTCACCCAAAATCCACCTGTAGGGGGACAGGCCCGACCTGAAACTAACCAGGTTGGCAGCGAAGTGACCCCAAGCCAGGACATTCAAATCACGGGTGGGCTACGGCTGTCGAGCACGGTCGCCATCGTGCCATCGCGGGCCGCGAAGCATCACCGAAACGCATGTGCGTCATGGTCTCAAGAATCCAACATGGGGGCCGTACGTTTGAGTCGGGCCTCTGCCTCTACAGGAGGACGATTCCCAAATAGTAAAAATATAGTCTGGGCACGATTGTTGGACTATTGTTGAGCATATTTGGAATATGTTTTAAGTGTTTATTTGTTTAATGTTCGCCCAAAATCCCCCTGTAGGGGGACAGGCCCGACCGAACCGTAGGTGGGGCTCACATGAGAAGTCCCACCCAGGAGCGCCCAAGACTTCCTTGACTTGAGATGGAAGTCGGAGGCCCTGAAGGGTACACCATCGTTCAATAGTTTGGACTGCTCAGTGCGCCGCAGCGCGGTGGCGTACGTAGTCAGGACTCTGCTGATTGGTTCGCGGAACGATGGCGGATATCGGCTTCTGATCATAGTTGCCCGCTTGCTCGGAGCGCCCGCCTTGTCCGACAGCGGGTTCGTTGAGTTGTGGTCGTGGTGCTGTTTGTGGTGTCTCCCATCGGGTGTGGCCAAAGGCTCCACGGACGTAGTTGCACACCTCGCCGCACGTAGATGCATACCGCAACAGTCGCCTTTGATGCGTCGCTCCACCTTCCCGTCCCCAGAGAAGCGGCACTACCACCATTGTGTTGCGCAGCCAGTGAGGATCGGGGTAACGGCAGTGGTGATCCGCGCATTCGTCCCGAGCAGGTTTCTCATCCATAGAGGATTTGGAAGTCTTCCCATGACCAGCTTTTCGTCCTGAGCAGCTTTTTGGCGGTCTTGGGGCCCGTGGAGGGCCCCAGGCGTCGGAGAACAGCAAGCACATCCAGGACGCTGTTCCTGCAGATCCCGTTCACGCCGTGGTCACGTCTGTAGTTCGCACCGCGCACCCCCCCCCTTTTTAACTGTCCGCTCGCCCTGGCCCCAGGAGTACCAGCGGAATTTCCGCCAGCAGGAGCTGTTCATGAAGATCGACGACGACACGTTCGCCGCCTGGAGCCGCCTGTGGCCGATGATCGCCAGAGGCTGGGCGCACGGAGCGACAGGAGGCAGATCAGGAGGGGAAGAAGCACACAGACACAATTCGTCGTCGATCGCCCGGAAATCATGGGAAACTATGGGAAGCGGGGGGGAGGACAGAGCCCCCCAAGCAATGCGGGAAAATGTAGGGAGTCCTGCTGCTTGTGTGTACTTCTTTGTGTGTCCTGGGGCACCTTTCAGTCCAGTCGGGCACCGGCGCAAGCAAAAAACGAAAAAACGGGGTGCGACAGGAAGGAGTTGTTCGTAAGGAACAGGAATGGAGGAGGCGGAAGTGGAAGTGGAAGTGGAGGAGGAGGAGGAGGAGGAGGAGGAGGAGGAGGAGGAGGAGGAGGAGGGGTCCACCCTTACTCGTTTCCCCCGCCTTCTACTACTCTTCCCCGTCCGCTCTCCTGCTGATTCTTCACGCCCATGCTGCTCCTCCTGCAGTGTGCCCAAGGCCCCGTGGCTCGCCAAGCCGCCAAGCCGTTCCTCGCGAGCGGCCCGTCGGCCCAGGCTACGCCGCCGCTGGCTGAGCCGCGGAGCGGTGCGCAGCACTGCGAGCGTGCGCCGGCTTTTCCCGGCGAGCGCGCACAGCGAGTGGTTTCGGACAGTCTGGACGCCCGAGATGGGCACGGAAAGAATGGGTACGATGCCCAACAGCAGTTCCTGTTCATTCTGAACAGGATTCGCTGTCCACGCCGCCGCGGCCTGTGTCCATTCGAGACAGAAGGCCGCCTGCCCAACAGCGGCCGCTGTTGGTTTGGGACAACATTTGTTGTTGGGCATTGTACCCATTCTTTCGGTACCCATTTCGGATGTCCAAAGACAGGATGTATGGTGGTTCGTGACCTCGACAGGGGTGAGGAGGGGGAACACACACACACACACACATACACGCAGGCACAATCAATCGTCGATTCCCCGGAAAGTATGGGAAAAACATGGAAAGTGAGGGGGGGAAGACGAAAATCCAAAAAGCATGACACAAAATTGGGGAAGTCCAGGGCACCGCAAGTAGTTTCGGACAGGAGTGTGGTGGCTCGTATGCTCGACAGGAGTGAGGAGGGGGAAAACACAAACAGAGACCCGATCGATCGTCGATTCCCCGGAAAGTATGGGAACACATGGAAAGTGAGGGGGGGAAGACGAGAACATCCAAAACAGCATGAGAAACAAATTGGGGAGATCCAGGGATGTGTGAGCATTTGTTTGTGTGGCCCTAAGGCCCCTTTCAAGAGCACAGCAATAAGGCAGAGCGCGCCTCTGGCGACGCGTCTTCTCACGACGCCCGTCGCGTGACGCGTGCACGCTCTGGCCGGCGCTACGGCGGGGCCCCGCGTGGGCTTCTGGTTGGACACCGGCCCTTCCTCGGATTGGCTCAGCCACGCGCAGAGGGGGGTGGGGGGAGGGGGGAGGGCTTCTTAGAAGCACCCCTGCTTCTTAGAAGGCGCGGGCCTCATCTACAGATGTGAGGCCAGCGCCTTCTAAGAAGCAGCCTCCTTCTTAGAAGCCTTTCCCCCTCCCTCCACCCCCCTCTGCGCGCCGCCAACTGGCAGGCCTCTCAGACGGACCCCTCCCCCGATCAACGAGTCGAGACTCCAGCGTTCGAAAACAAACACGCCACAAACACAAACTGTTGGCGCTCCGCGCGGATTTCTTGGCGACGCGCTGGCCCCCGCCTACGGCGCCTCCGGCGCCGTCCCTGGCGCGCTCCGCGCGCCAGGGAGGGGGGTCCGCGCGGAGCGCCAAAAGTTTATGTGTATGCCGTTTTTGTTCCGAGTCTCGGATCGTGGATTCAGATTTGTGGGACCCCGGAGTCGGCGGCGAACCCGGGGGCGAAGTGAGAAGGGGCGGTCTTCTCCGAAGGTTCGGGGTTTTTCCCTTGGCCTTCTCTAAGAAGTTTGCTGAGCCTTCCCCGAAGATGCGGGACACTTCTCAGAAGGCGCGATGTCTTCCGAGAAGTCCCGCCGCCCTCTGATGGGGGCTGTTTTACCTTCTCGCCTCTCCCCCCCTCGCGCGCCGCCGACAGAAGGCTGCCTCTGGACCTTCCGAGACTTCTATAGAGGCCTCTGGGAACCTGCGGAGACCCCGGCCCTTTCCCCCCCCAGCGCCCCCACGTTGCGCCCCCCCGGATAGCTTGGCATCGCTCGGACGTGTGCGGTTTTTTCCTCGGCGAGGACCATCGAGGAGCATACTTGATCATTTGGCGACACAACCACGCACGAAACCTAAAAAAACACAGGGAATGGACGTCCGAGCGATGGCGAGATAGGCTTTCCACAGTCAGGAGGGAAAAAGCAGACAGACGCAAAGAAGCGTCGATCTTGGGGAAAACAGTGAGGACATGGAAGCCAGAGGGGACGACGAGCATCCAGAAAATGCTCCACAAACACGGGGAATCGTGGGATTTGTGTCTATGCATTGGTGCGCCCCTGGGCCCCTTCGCACAGACCTCCGAGAGGCACCAGGAGGCTTCGCTGAGCGGGGAGCTTTCCCTTGGGAGGCCGAGCAAATCGGGGGGACGGCGCACCACTCCCGGCCCTCGCGTGTGACAGGACCGGCGTGTGAGGACCCCAGGAGGCCCCATATGACGACCCCAGGACGACCAGACAAGACAAATGCGCGACAGGATGAGCTCTCCTCGAGAGCCTCGTCCTTCCCGCCCCGCCCGTCCTCCTCATGCACACCGCCCTCCTCGTCTCCCGCGCTGCCGTCCGAGGTCCTCCTGCCCCTCCTCGTCGACCTCGCCGTCCTCTTCCCGCTCGGGGTCCGCCCTCCTCGCCCTCCGTGCCAGCCGGTCCTCGTGCCCGTGTTCGACGCACTGGTCCTCGTGGCCCTCCTGGTCATCCACGCCGTCCTCCTCCTCCTCGTCCTCCACGCCGTCCTCCTCCTCCTCCTCCTCGTGGCCCTCCTGGTCATCCTCTTTGTCCCCTCGTCCTCCACGCCGTCCTCCTCCTCCTCACCCGCCTCTGCGGCGTCCTCATCTTCCTTTCTGTCTGAGGGGGGAGAGGTGGCGCTTCCGAGTTTAGCCCAGTCGGGTTTCCCAAACACGTCCGTTTCGCTAGAGACATCGTTTCCGAGAGGACTCCGAACCAACGTCGTTGTGGAATTTGCTCCTGGAGGCTCTCATCATGGCCCAGAAGAGGTTCAAAAGGTCCCAAAGGGGACCCCAAGAGCGCCCCAAGAGGGCCCCAGAGGCTCCCAAGCTGCAAGAGGCCCCAGACGGCCGAACGGCGCCCCAAGTCTGGCCAGTGAGGCGCTCACACTGCCCCTCAACAAAAACATCCCGCGGCGCCGACGCGGTGTGTCGGCACACCACAGCAAGTGTTCAGACAACGCGCCCGCTCTCGATGACGCCCTGGTTGGTTCTTTGTCATGGCTGCATATCCAAGGTCGGGATTGGTCCGTGACCACAGCTGCCGTATCCACCGCTTGCACTTTGTCTCTACACCTCCTCCATGGGGTCGGAGTAGATGGGGTCGGAGGATCGCGCCGCATCGTTGATGCATCGGCGATGCGGCTCTATGTGGAGCCCGATTTGCTTCACGTCGACGTCGCCGATACATCGCCGACGTCGACGATGCATCGCCGTTGCATCGCCGACGCATCACCGATGCATCGAGGATGCACCGCCGATATATCGGCGATGCGGCGTGGCGCGATCCTTCGACCCTTCCTACTCGGACCCCATCTGGGAGGCTTCTATTGTCATTCCCAAGTTTGAAGGTGCTTTCTCATACAGCGCACCTCAGGCAAAACACCATGCGCGAAGCAGCAACAACGGCTCCAAGATCGGCGCAAAAGGCCCCCAAATGGCCCATGAGGGCCCCAAAGCGGCCCAAGAAGGGGCCATCACAGCCCAGGAGAGCCTCCTGAGTCGTCGTCCTCCTCCACTTCCTCCTCGATCATCCTCGGCCTCTTCAATCTCCTTACCACGATTCCCCTCCTTTTCATCCTCCTCTTTCTTCTCCTCCTCTTCTCCTTCTCCTTCTCTTCCTCCTCCTCATCTTCCTCCTCGAGCCCCAAAGTACGCCCAGACAGCCCAAGAGGGCCCAGACGTCCTCGAGAGGCCTCCGATACGCTCACAAGAAGCGCCCAGGAAGCTTCTAAGAGGCCCCGGCTCGAAGGGGGCATCGCACGCTCATAGTAGTCCCCATCGCAATTCGCCCCCACAGGCACCAATGGCGCTCACTCCTCCCACATCCTTCTCCCCGTGCTCCTCGTTCCACTTCTCCTCGTCGCTCTCCTCACTCTCCTCCTCGTTGTCCTCCGCGGTGTTCTTCACCTTGCCTTTCTTTGTGTCGTCCTCCCCGTCTGACCGTGTCCTCTCCCGCCCTGTCCTGCTCGTCCTCCTCGTCGCCCTCCTCGAGAGCCTCGTCCCCCTCGTCCTCTCCGCTCCCCCCGGGCCTCAATGCACGCTGCCTTCCTCGTCTTCCACGCCGCCGTCCTCCTCATCCTCCTCGTCGAGCCTGTCGTCCTCGCCCCTCTCGTGCTCGTTCTCCTCGTATTCCTCCTCCTCGTCTCTGGGGTTGTCGTCCCTACTCGTGGGCCCTCCAGGTCCTCCTCGTGCTCCCCTCGTCCTCCACGCTGCCCTCCTCGTCCGCCTCCTGGTCGCCCTCCGGTCCCTCCTTGTCTTCTTCGTTTGGGGAGGAAAAGGAGGAGGAGAAGGAGGAAGAGGAAGAGGAAGGGGAGGAGGAGGAGGAGGAGGAGGAGGAGGAGGAGGAGGAGGAGGAGGAGGAGGAGGAGCAGGAGGAGGAGCAGGAGGAGGAGGGGGGGGAGGAGGAGGAGGAAGAGGGAGGGAGGAGGAGGAGGAGGAGGAGGAGGAGGTGAGGAGGAGGAGGAGGAGGAGGAGGAGGGACGAGCAGGAGGGGAGGAGGAGCAGGAGGAGAGGAGGAGGAGGAGGAGGAGGAGGAGGAGGAAGGAGGGGGAGGAGGAGGAGGAGGAGGAGGAAGGAGGAGGAGGAGGAGGAGGAGGAGGAGCAGGAGGAGGAGGGAGGAGGAGGAGGAGGGGGAGGAGGAGGAGGAGGAGGGGGAGGAGGGGAGGAGGAGAAGGAAGAGAGGAGGAGGAGGAGGAGGAGGAGGAGGTCAAAGGCGGCGCTTCCCGCTCTTGCCCAGTCAGATTTCCGAACAATTGCCGTTTCGTTAGGGACGTCCTCCAGACATTGGGATCGGAGGGAGTTCTGAACCAACCGCATTTTGGAATCGCTCGTGGAGGGTTTCAACCAACATGGCCCAATAAGCTTGAACGTCCCCCCTGCTGTCAGGGGAAGGTTCAGCCGTGGATTGCTCCTGCGACTTACGATTAATAATAACTAGCGTAGTGATCGCCATAGTGATGGACAGATTGGCAGCAGAGGCGGCGACGGCGACATGTTGTTGGTGATGACGGCAGGGGTGCAGATGTCCATGGGGTGATGTTGTATTGGGTGGGACAGTCGCCGCCTTACCGCGGGGGAAGGGCGGAAACTGGCGAAAGCCGCTTGGAATCGTGCAGGAGCTCCCGTGCTGGAGCCTGGCGGATACCGATCGGTTCGTTTGGAATTTTCGGGCGAGGGGGGCGGAAATGTGACGCGGACCTGTAGAGGAACGCATCAGGAAAGCAGCGGAGACCGCCGGGATTTGCAAGGAGTGGCGCCGGAAGCCGTTCGTTCTTGAAGAGGACCCACGCCTTGATGGCATCGTCTGGGGCTCGGATAGAGATGGATCAGGAGGGGAAACAACACACAGACACAATTCATCGTCGATTCCCCGGAAAATAGGGGAAAATATGGGAAGTGGGGGGGAAGACGAAATCCCAGAAAATATAGGAAAATATGGGGAATCTTTTTATTTGTGTGTATTTATGTGTGTGTGTGTGTCCTGGGGCCCCTTTAATGGAACCCCCCCCCCTCCCTGGTTGCCTGGGGACCTGCGACCCCGCCCGCCAGGCCCGCGCAGCTTCCAAGAGGTTTAAGGGGGGCGGCTCGCCTTCAGCATCCCGCCATCGTCGTCGAGCGCCGTCCACCGCTGGCTGCCCCCATGTTCGCCATTCCCACCTCTGTCGGCATCGCCGCCAGCAACCTCGTCATTCATCATCGCCAGCATCGTCAGCGCCGCCGTCGTTCTCGTTCCCACCGTCACCCTCGCCTTCCATCTGCTTGTCGCATTGGTAGTCATCACCATCGTCGTCACCTGGGTGTTCGTTGTCGTCGAGCATGCTCGAGCCAAAAAGAATCTGACTCGGGGGGAATGCCAAGGGCCACCCACCCTTCATGCGTTCGCGTTCCTGGCGGAGGGCCAAAATTGAAGTCAGAGGCTCTCCCCCTGCTGAGATGACCCCAGCATTGCCCAAGAGAGCACAACGAGGTTCCCCACACGGCCCACATATGCGCAGACGTCCCCAACAGAACCCCGATTGGCCCCCAAGAAGCGCCCAAGAGGTTGTCAAGAGGCGCCAGCACGGCGCAACATAGTAATCAGTTAACCCCGCGTGGCCGGCGCGACGTGTCCGTACAGAGCTCGGACGCGCGCAGCGTGCCACGCGCAGTGATCATCCAGCGCGCAGGTTTTGGACGACGCCCTGTTTGGCTCGGCGCTATGGCTGCATGTCCACGACGGGGATTTGTCTCGAACCACCCCTCGGGGCGTAGTTCTTCGGGTGCGTCGGCAAGCCGTGGACGCCGCCCCCCCCCCCAGACCCGAAGATATCCCGAGCCGCCGCGTGCCGAAGTCCCCGGATATTGACTTCTGTGTTGGATTTGTTGTTTTGTTTGGAGTCGGGCACGTCCCTCTACAGGAGGGAAGTCAAAGCTAATCAAACAGTAGTCTGGGGACGCAGTCTGACTATGTTTGATCATTTTGTCTTCCCAAATCCGCCTGTAGGAGGACATGCCCGACCTAAGTTTTGCCTCGCGCATCCAGACGAGGCTGGCAGAACTATTCCTACCACATGTACATGGGTACCATGAAGTCTCCGAGCACGCCGAGCAGGCCAGAGGAGGGATAAGCAGTTTGGTCTCTCGTTCCCCAGAGCCGCGAGTCAGCGCATGCTCGGAGCATCTGCCCCATGCCCTCGGCACACAGATCATCAACGAGTTATGGCTTCCAGGTATCCGCGTGAGCAGGCACACGCAGACATGCAGTTGTTTCAGAGACTGTTGTTGGGCAGACAGCCAGGACCAGTCGCATGATGTTGCAAGAGCAGCAGATGCCACATCGTTGCCGAGCGCCGGTGGTGCAGGTGAAGATAAACCCCGAAGCAGTTCGCAGCGCGTCTTGAGCATAGAGTCAGGTGTGACGCGACACTGTGTGCGCTGTCGATTCGAGTGTCGTTGGGGCATGCATGACGATACATGTTTTTTGCCTGGGCCTCGGGTTTGACAGTTTCCAGGGGCGTCTTCGGGTTCTCTTAGTGGCGCTTTCGCATCGGACAATGCTTGCCCAGTTCGGCGCTCCTCTGCCTCAGAAGGGGAAGGACGAGGACGAGGAGGAGAAGAACAGAAACGAGATAAGCAGAGAAGAGAAGGACCAAACAAGAGTAGAGACGAGTACGGGATGGAGGAGTAGGATGAGGAGGGGGGAGGCAGAAGAGGTGGGTGGGAGAGGGGGAGTCAGAAGGGAGGGGAGGAGGGAACGAGCAGAACGTCGGGGAAGGGGGGCGGAGGGGGGAGGAAGGGCAGGGGAGGGGACGGCCTGCTCGGCTGAAGACGCGGGCACGGACGGGAGAGATCGGCGGGAGGGGCGAGGGACCCCTTCAACGCGTTCTACGAGCCGCTGAGCTCGCACCCCCGCCCGGCCCAGCGTGGCGCGCGCAGGCCTAGGACGGCGGACGAAGAAGCGAAAGGGGGGGCAGTCGATACTACTTTGTTCCGAAGGTGTGCGCAAGTCGGCGGCGAACTCCGAACCCTAACCTCGCCGATCAACAATTCGGGCAACTCGAGGGGCGGTGGGGGCGGGGCTCGGAATTCCTCGAGCACGTGGCGAGCATCGAACATGACCCCCGCCTCCCATCGATTCAGGGGCACTGATGGTTGGTCGGGGTAGGACTCGGAGGTCGCCACCTAGCAGAGTGGCTGCTTGTTTGCGGTCGGGAGCTTCTGCTTACAGTGGAGGCCCATGCCAAGAAGCACCCTGCTTGCCTCCAGGGTGCCCTGGGTTTCGATGGTCTCGATGGCCTTGCGATGGAGGGCGCCACGCTCCCACACCAAAAAACAATGGACGTCCTGGGGTCTCGGGGTTGGGTTTCTCGTGGAAGGTTTCTTGTGGACGGGCCTCCCTTGTACAAGGGCCAAGGGCGCCCTCGAGGGCGCGAAGTTATTCGCGCTTCGCGGCTCGGCTCCGATTCCTCCTCACCCTCCACTTCTCCCCTGGGAGGCGGCGCGAGAGCGCGAAGTTATTCGCGCTTCGCGCAGAGCGAAGTTGGGAGCCCTTGCTTGTACCGCATCGCTCCGCTCGCCCTTGCTTGCACCTTGTGGGAGCCCTGGCTTGTACCGCTTCGCGCAGCGCGCAGCGCGAAGCGCGAAGTTGGGAGCTCTTGCTTGTTCCGGCCCGCCGCGCTACGGAGCGGCATGCCAACAGCGTCGCGGCCCCCCAGCGTGGAGGAGGAGGAGGAGGAGGAGGAGGAGGAGGAGGAGGAGGAGGATCGGAGGAGGAGGAGGAGGAGGAGGAGGAGGAGAGGAGGAGGAGGAGGAGGAGAGGAGGAGGAGGAGGAGGAGGAGGAGGAGGAGGAGGATGAGGAGGAGGAGGAGGAGGAGGAGGAGGATCGAGGAGGGAGGAGGAGGATCGAGGAGGAGGAGGAGGAGGATCGAGGAGGAGGAGGAGGAGGAGCAGGAGGAGGAGGAGCCAGTCGCTCCGCCGATTCTGGCCCACCGCGCTCCGGCGCGACGTGCCAACGGCGTCGCGGCCCCCGAGCGTCTGCGCGCTCCCTCCCGGGCGTTGCCTGGCCTCCCCGCCCCGCGCAGCGTGTCTCTAGGCCTCCTAGATGGGGTCGGAGTAGGTGGGGTCGGAGGATCGCGCCGCATCGGCGATACATCGCCGATGCGGCTCGATGCGGAGCCCGATGTTCTCCACGCCGGCGTCGCCGATGCGTCGCCGACGTCGGCGATGCATCGTCGGTGCATCGCCGATGCATCGCCGATGCATCGCTGATGCATCGCCGATGTATCGCCGATGCAGCGCGATCCTCCGACCCCATCTACTCCGGCCCCATCTAGGAGACCTCTAGTGTCGAGCCGGGGCCCACGCCGCGGCGGGCTGGGCGGGAGCTCTTGGCCGCAGCATGCCCGGCCACCCACTCAAAGAGGCGCCTACGTCTATGATGCTCCAGCCTACTTTACCCATCGGTCGTTGAAAGCAGGTATTATTTCTGGACTCCCAGATTCCAGTCTGCTTTCAGCGCCTTCCTGCTTCAAGAGTCGAGTGGTTTTCCCTCTTCCTTCCTCTTCAGGAGGCGGGCGGAAACCCAATGTATTTCCAACGCCTTCCTACTTCATGTTTCTACCTACTTCTTCCGACCGATGGGTAGCCTTGATCACCAGGAAGAATCTCGAGCGCCTAAAAAACTACCGAAACTCTCAAGGGTTTTCGCGTGCCGGGCCCTGGGAGACACTCGCCCGACACCGTTTCGACACTGTTTCGACACTCTGTTGACACTTTTCCGGGTGCTCGAGATTCTTTCTGGGATGTGGTCCTTCAGTAGGATGGGAGCAACATAAACTTACGTACAGTGGAGGCCCATGCCAAGAAGCACCCCGCTTGCCTCCAGGGTGCCCTGGGTTTCGCTGGTTTTGCCATTGAAAGCGCGACGTTCCCAATGGGCGTCCTGGGGTCTCAGGGGGGGGTTCTTGTCGAAGGTTTCTTGCGGACTGGCCCTCTCTGTATACCTAGCCACCCACCCAAGCAGCACCTGCGTAAATGCACCCGTTGCTCTGAACTTCTTTTTCCACCCAAGTGCGCACACAGGTATGGAAATGCGTGCGTACGCTCACGTGCATGCATTCAGGAGTTTCGTCTCGTGTGCGCGCACGCGTGCACATGTCTACCCGGGGATGGAGCTCGGAGAGTACGTTCGGGCATCTTGCGGGCTTCGGGGGCGTGTAATTGTGAGAGCCAGGAGTCAAAGGGAAAAACCTGCTTAGGCACCTCCAGTGCCTCGTCGAGTCCTGTCTTCAGGCATTCTAGGCGCCGTCTCAGTGTCTTCTGGAGGGCTGGTGGCTCCATTGCAGCAGTTGAGCAGTCAATGAAGACAACGGCCCTGTGACCGTGGTCCATACGCATCTGCAGATGCTCCGAATATAGCAACGGTATAGCGGGCACATCCGATGAGAAACCCGCTTGCATGCAGGTGCCCCACGGAAATTGTGCATCCATCGATCGATTCTGGGACCCACCGATCCGCTTGAGCACCTGAGGACGTTCAGTGGCCGACGTCGAATGTGCCTTTAGGTGTCTGTCGGTGGGATGCCTCATCGCATGTGCTTGCTTTACACGAACGGATGCGCACGAGCTTGAACTCATACTTAAGACACATGGCACACACGCGTGGACGCCGAACGCGTGCAGCGTGGGCTATCAAAACTAGGGCGGGAAGACCACGGGCGGAGCCCTCTCTCTCAGGTCACCCAAGCGCGGGTCACCCGAGTGGTTGTGTGCGGTGCTCAGTTTCACGACGCCATGTGCAGCTGGATATGCTCACTCGTAGGGCAACTGCTGGTAGGACCCGACGGGCGGGGTCCATGGCCAGCAGGATAAGATATGCAGGCCACTCTCAGGCCAGCATCCACCGTTCGGCGGGTTCCAGTGGCACTCGTGAAGCCAATGGGCAGGGGACTTCGTGGAAATTGGAACTCCCGCCACGGAGGCAGTCGATGGACGGTCACAAAAACTACCACGCGTGGTATTTTTGCTGTGGAGCCAAGTACTGAGTCCGTGAATGCAGGCAGTGTTTGGTTAACGCACGCGCGCGAGGAATATGTGAGGGAGCATGTGCCAGTGAAAATGCGAACTTGATGACAGATACTCGAGTCAACAACATGCGTTGTCCAGCCAGCATGGGCCTACCCGTTGCAAAGAACATAGCGCGCGTCGTGAAGAGAACATATTTTCCGCACAGGGTGGCATAGACACCTCAGAAGGAGGACGCAGACAAATGAGCACGTCGATTGCTCTCGCATTTGACGGTGATTCGTGCTTTAGCTCATAGCAGACATATCATGATCAGTGCTCTACTCCTGCAGTTCCAGCTGTCCGTGACAGTGAAATCATGTCAGGGTAATGCAGTCCAAACGGGGCACGTAGGATGGTGTAGGCTGGGAAACAAGTGAGATGAGGAGGAGGCGGGAGGTTGGGCAGCAGGGATGAGATGAGATGGGATGAGATGAGATGAGACCAAGGACGAAGTCATGCAATAAGATCGGAGGCCCGGTCAACTCAGCAGACGAAGTACCCCTCGATGCCGATGCATCCCCTTCCACGCCTCCAGACGAGGAAGAGGGAGTAGGAAGGATGAGTGAGGCTATGAAGAGCAGGGAGGAGGACGAGGAGGAGGAGGAGGAGGAGGAGGAGAAGGAGGCGGAGGAGGCCCAGGAGCAGGAGCAGGAGACGAAAAAGGGAGGAAAAGCACGGAAGGCTCGAGGAGCGCTCACCTCCGGAAGGCCCGCGGCGAGGCGCAGCTGCTGGAGAGCATCCCGAGGCTTGGAAAACCTTCCAGGAGCCAACGGAAGCACCCGACAACGTCGAACGTCGATGCCGTCCTCGTTATTGATCCCTTCCTCGATACCCTCCTCGATCTTGTTCTCGAGTCAGGGGGCCTCCGATGTGATTGGTTACGAGTCCGACTCCTCGGCCGAGTCGCCGCGGCCGCGGCCGCGGCTGCCCAGCGGCCCCTCCGGCGCGACAGGGGCAGGCCGTGCCCGTCGAGGCCCGAAGCTCGCCAGCTCCCCTCTCCGCCTCCTCCCTCCCGCGCGGGACCTCCTCTCCTCGAATCCTTTTCCTCATAAAGTAACTCATCCCTGTCGCGCCCCGAGGCCAGTCGGAAGGGCGGGCTGGGCGTTTCGCCTGAGACTTCCTTACAAGCTATCATCCTGAAGGTTCAGAATTGGCAACACTTTCGCGGATTGAGGGCGGGTGGTTTTCAAAATGTGGTTCTCGCCTTAGCGCCACGCACACCCGTTTTAAAACATTGCAGGATTTCATGGATTGAGGGCGGGTGGTTTTCAAAATGCAGTTCTCGCCTTAGCGCCGCACACATTCGTTTTAGAAATGTGCAGGGGTTTCACACATTGAGGGCGGTCCTTTTTCAAAATGTGGCTCTCGCCCTAGCGGTAGGCACATTGGTTTTACACATGTGCAAGAGTTTCGCGGATTGAGGGCGCGTCGTTTTCAAAATGTGGGTCTCGCCATTAGCGCCGCGAGCATTCGTATCAAATGATTGCAGGAGCTTCGCGGATTGAGGGCGGTTCCTTTTCAAAATGTGGTTCTCGCCCCAGCGCCGCGCACACTCGGTGAACACAACTGCAAGAGGTTCACGGAATTCTGTGGTTCTCGTACCAGAGGGGGCTCCCTGGAAGGATTCAGGAATGTCAGAGCGCATCAGTTACGTTGTGTCGCATTGGTGACATCCCAGGAACGGCATTCTGGTACGCACCAGGATCTTCACAACGCAACAGTCAGGCTGATTCGTGGCATTGGAGTCCCGATAATGGTGCTTTGGCACGTTTTAGGATCTGGAAACGGTTGTCTCCCAACGGGGCACTTCCTTCAGTGAAAAAGAATCCTCGTAGGGGCCTGTGAAGAGGGAGCCTGGAGGGAGGGTTTATTCAACATCGTTGATGAGTTTCGGGTTTGCACTGATCCTGCCCCTCCTCCCTCGTAGTCATCGTCGTCGTCCTCCTGCTACGAGGAGGAGGAGGGCGACGACGGTGATGACGGCGAGGGAACCAACAAATGGACATAAACTCTCGGAGGTCCACACTGGTTTTGTTGGAGAGCTCCAGGGGCGGTAATCATCGTCGTCGTCCCTCTGCTACGAGGAGGAGGAGGGCGACGACGATGATGACGGCGAGGGAACCAACAAATGGACATAAACTCTCGGAGGTCCACACCGGTGTTGTTGGAGAGCTCCAGGGGCGGCGCCGGAGAGGCGCCGCCAGGGGGGGCCCAGCGCCGATCCCAGGACTTCGCGCGGAGCTCCAACAGTTTACACCTTAGGCGATGCTTAAGAAAACCTAATTTTTCGGCCAGAGTCTCGATTATTCTTAACTTTTGAATGTAAATCCCAAGATTTTGATAGAAGTTCTGGGTTTTAGTCAATTTCTGAGACTATGAATTTCTCCACCCATGATTTCTTAAGCATTTCGCAGGGTGTACAGCGAGCGGCTTGCATCAGGAACACTTCCTTTTCAAAAGGGGCTCGGTCGTTCCCCAGGCTTGCATGCGTGATTCATCATTCCTTAAGTCGCTATTTGTTATATATAGATATAGATATATATATATATATATATCGTTCCTTCTGCGTTACTCCTTGGAAAAAGAAGGGGCTTCGTTCCTTTTTCATCGTTCCCTGGGTCAGGCCGATGACTGTATGCCGATGCTGTCTTGGTGGGCCCTCCTCGCGAGGGGCGGAGCGGGGAGGCGGCCCGTCCGAGCGCGCGCGGAAGGTACCCCCGGGAGCGGTACCCGCAGAGCGCGGACGGCGGGCCCGGGTACCTCCTCGGGGGCCAGCTGATCTCGAGGCCGCGCGCCCCGGCACGGCGGGGCATCGGGCCATTTGGGCGCCGCGTAATGGGGGGGGGGTCACAAAGGGGGGGTCATAAACGGGGGGGTCATAAACGGGGGGGTCATAAACGGGGGGGGTCATAAACGGGCGCCGCGTATGTTCGGGGGGGTCATAAACGGGGGGGGGTCGCGGGTGGTCCGAAAAGGTGCCCAAAGGGTACCTAAACGAGCCCCTCTGGGGCTCCAGAGGGGCCCGGAGAGGGGCACGAAAGGGGACCGTTTCTGACCCCCCCATGCATGACCCCCCCATGAAGCCACGCCCGGGCCATCGCGGCTGGCCACCAGGTCGGAGTCGGCTGCTTCGGTGTCCGTTCATCACCGGGCGCGTTTCCACTGCTCGCAAAGGAAGGTGCCTACTCGCAGACCTCCGAACAACACATGTCTGCTTTGAGGAAACTGATCGTAGATCCTCCGCGGGGGATCCAGGCCATTTGCGAGCAGTCACTTTGCGAGTCGTGGAACGCGCTCGTCTGGTTCATGGGAGATTTGGGTGGCGACATTGAAACAGCTTTTCCTGCACTTGACATTGAAACAGCTTTTCATGCACTTGGACTACACTTGGACCGCGTTTGGCTCTTCCTCTGGCTCCTGCTCGCCCCTCCTGTGCCTTTTCGTCTCCCTTGTGACGGGGCGAATCGGGTCCAAATCCTGTCCCAAATGTGTTCCAAAGCCAGTCCAAATCAGGCTCAAATCGGACAGCGCTGGGGGCAAAGTAGGCCCCCATGGAACGACACTAAAGGCCAGGATCCTGAGGTGGCCCAGCAGTCGTTCTGGCGGGCAGGAAGGAGGGTGAGATTCGAGACTATGAGTTCGGGAATGTGTTCTTACCTTATGATGCTCCAATCTACTGTAGCCTTGATCACCAGAAAGACTTTCAGAAAGAATTTCGAGCGCCAAAAAACGTACCGAAACTCAATGGTGTTCGCGTGTCGGGCCCTGGGAGACACTCGCCCGGCACTGTTTCGACACTGTTTCGATGTTCTTTTGATATTTTTCCGGGTGCTCGAAATCATTTCTGGGATGTGGTCCTTAAGCAGGATTGGAACAATATAATTATTGCCTTTTCCGGCTTCCGTGGGCCATTGTCGGGCCCGGGGACCGGCAAAAACGGATTGACCAGGGACCGATTTGAAACGGAGCTGCACGGTGAGGCGTCAGGCCGTCACATGGCTCGATTACGCCATTCCGCCGACCCCAGCGGAGTAGAGAGGTTCAGGGCGTTTGGTAGGCTATGTTGGAGCTGGAGTGGCTCATTCACGCCAGCGAGAGAGGAGGAGGAGGAGGAGGAGGAGGAGGAGGAGGAGGAGGAGGAGGAGGAGAAAGGAGGAGGAGGAGGAGGAGGAGGAAAAAGGAGGAGGAGAAGAGGAGGAGGAGGCAGAGAAGGAGGAGAAGGAGGAGGAGCAGAGGAGGGTGATGATGCGACGCGCGGCTTCGCTAGGTGGGTGCGTGCTCGATTGTGCGTGGGCGGGCGGCACTGTAGCCGATGGGGCCTAGCGCCACCGCCATTGGCAGGGCAAAAAAAATGGCGGCGGGAGCCCGAAGAGGCAGACAGCAATAACGCCAAAGGCAGGAAGCACCGACGCACTGGGCAGGTCAAGCCTGGGCACCACTACCGCCTCGAGGAGGCGGCAGGCGCCGAAAAAGGAAGCACGCAGAACGAGAGAGAGAGAGAGAGAGAAGACCCGAGCGAGTGCTCACGCATATATAGTGGCACAAACATACAAACGTGGGAGGCCCGCGCAGATTTCTCGGATCGGCGCTGGACCCCCCTCCCTGGCGCGCGGAGCGCGCCAGGGGCGGCGCCGGAGGCACCGCCGGGGGGCCCCAGCGCCGATCCGAGAAATCCGCGCGGTCCTCCGAGTTTTTATGTTCATGCCACTTTTGGTTCCCCGATGTAATTCAGGAGGGGAAAAAACACACAGACACAATTAATCGGCGATTGCAAGAAAATATGGGAAAATATGGGAAGTGGGGGGGAAACCAAAAACCCAGAAAATATGAGAAAATATGGGGGGTATTTTTATTTGTGTGTATTTATTTGTGTGTCCCAGTTCCCCTTCAGTAATGCGTGACCAGGGACGGCCCTCGGGCGACCCACGGAGAGGGAGCCTGCTTGAGGGGCGTGTCGCGCACGCGACGCGCGGGGGCTGGTCTGCGCTGAGAGCGCTGGCGCCAGCCGGGGGACGCAGCACATTCAGACAATCTCAAGGAATGTCGGGCCTCCGGCGGAGCGGAAGCCCCGCGATGAAAAGCAGGAGCGGCGGAGGCGACCCACGACGGGGAATGCGGGAACCGAGCAGCGCGAGGCCACGCACACGGTACCGAAGACCTGCAGGACCGATGCTCCTGAGAAGGCCATCACAGAAATCCTAAATTTGCAGTGCACTTGTGGGCGGCGGGTGCGGGGAGACCCAGAGGGGAAGCAGGCGGGTACGCGCCCCCAAACCTGACAGGCAGGTTGGGGCTGCAGAGGTGACCGAGGCACCATGTGTACCAGCACAAAGTGTTGCAAGTAGTGTGCAAGAGGTCAGTGTTCTGCTCACGGTGACACTGCCTGATTGAATGGTGATTCAGACCAAACTGGATTGAAGGTTGCATTCACATACATATATATATCGAGAGAAAGAGAGAGAAGAGAGAGAGAGAGAGAGAGAGCCACAGTGTCAGAGCGATTAGAGCGGGTTCGACGCCAAGAGAGGACAGCCAACAAGCAGAGAACCTGGACAGACCTGCACCACACCAGATCACAATTGCAAAGTAGCGCGACGCCAGAGAGGCACCATTGCGATGGCAGGCTTGCAAATAGCAGCACGCAAGTCAACGGGCTCTGAATCAGGTTCAGGAGAGATGTCGAGGGATTCCTGGTTCTTTTATCGAACCAAGAAATCAGAGCATCAGTTTCTTCTGGAGGTGAGTCCTCCATAAAACAAGCACGGCACATGAATCCTTCACCAGCCTTGCACATCTTAGCACTGCGCCAGCGTCCATCAGAGGTGCTGCGCCCGCAACAGTGGCGCGCGGGTGGCCTCCGAGGAGCGCGTCTGGGACAATGGAACCACCCACTGCTCGCACGCGTAACGGGTCAGGACCGTTTCGTGCACGGTTCGGAAGCAGGAGGCCGCACGTGATGCAGCTCTTCGTCCCCACTCGACTGTGGCTGCAGAGCAGCGGCCCGGGAAGCACCCTACGCTTTTAAGTCGGGCCTGTCCCCCTACAGGGGGAATGTTCAAAAATCGTCAAACAAATCGTCTGGGGACTCTTTTTCGACTATGGTTGGGCATGTTTGGAGTATTTTTGAATATTTCTGGGCGTTCAAATCCCCCTGTAGGGGGACACGCACGACTTAACCCCACTCGACTGTGGCTGCAGAGCAGCGGCCCGGGAAGCACCCCACGCACGGGCGATGGCGGAGGCCTCTCCGTGCGCCTCGGCGGCGCGCCGTCTCGCACAGCACGCCCGCCGGGGAGGCCCCGGCCACTTTCGGCCTGGGGATGTGCAGTGACGCCTCCGTCGCGCAGCCCGTGAGGTTTCGCGTTTGCAGCGTGCTCCTCTGACGTGTGGCGCTCCTCCTGCGAGGAAGGAGCGCAGCACTCCTTTGTTTACACGCAACGCCTGGGCTGTGCCTCGGCACAGCTACCAGACGGCACCGCTTGCAAGTTCAGTTGTTGTTGCTCCAGCCTGGCTGCACCAGCCTTGAGGGCGCGAAGATCGGCATTACTCAGAGACATAATTAGGGGATCTGGAACGCGACTGGGGGCGGCCCATTGGGACAGAGAAGAGGAAGGCCGAGCACAAATGTATTGGCGGAGCTGATCGTCAGAGCTAACTTACCTGCTGTCTGAGCTGCCTGCCGATAGAGCGTTCAGAGCACGGCGCACTGGCAATGCCCTCTCTAGGAGAGCGGGGATTCGCCGGCGGAGTCGACAGGGGGCGTCCCATAGAGGCAGGATCGGGGGGCGTCTCCTTCAACTCGGCCCTGATTCTCGCGGGCGAAGCTCAGTCCTCGTCAGGGTCAGAGGCTGATCGTCTCCAACGGTGAAGGCGATGTAGAGCACGTGGTCTCTCTGCTCCGAAGGCTCTGGCCGTGCAGCCCTCGGAGTCGAAGCCCTCAGGCGGCGGCTTCGAAGAAGCAGGCCACGAGGCAGCAGGTCCGCCCCTGGGGCCAAGCGTACTGCTCACGTGAGGCGGAGGAGGCGGGAGCACCAGCGGCAGAGGCAGGAGCGGTTGTCCCCCTGCGCCTCGTCCTTCGGCCGCACGCTCGGCAGCCGGGCGGTGCGGGCAGTCAGCGGGGGGCCGAAGTGGCGCAGCAGTCGGCCGCCCTGCTGGGGGCGGCGGCGCAGGCCACGGCGGCGGCGCGGGCCACAGCGGCGCCGGCGTAGCGTAAAGGCGGGCCTGTCCCTGAGCAGGGGGGAACCTCAAGAATCATCAACATAATATCTGGGGGCGATGTTTGGAGCATGTTTGTTTTAGCTATTCTGGGGCTATTTCTTGAGCCGTTTTTTGTTTCTCGCCCAAGATCCCCCTGTAAGGGGAAGAGGTCCGACCGAACGCTCGGACGCCTATTCCCCATGGTGATCGGTTTCCTATTCGTTGTTGTGCCGATCGGCGAGGCCCCTCGCGCCCTCCCCCACCCCCTCCCATGGAGGAGATCTTGGCTGTCTCTGGCGCCTGTTTCAAGCAGGTGGGGTCTCCCCATCGTACGCACTGCCCCATACAGTGGCGCAAAGGCGCAGCGCAAAGGCGGGCCTGTCCTTCTACAGGGGGACGATTCAAAAGCAGTCAAAGCACAGTCCGGGGACGATCTTCCGAGCATTCGTTTGGCCACTTGTGGGCATGCTCGTGGGGTGTTTTCATTGGAGTGTTTTTCATTGTACGTATGTTTCTATAGATTGTCCTTCTCCTGTGTACACAATCCTACATGTTTTAATTATGTTCCTATTTGTTGGGCCTCTCCTGGGGCACGAGTCCCTGGTGTTGTGTGTTCCTATAGACCCACGCAGTGAGTCATTCATTGGGGAGCTCCACGCAGTGAGTAATGCATTGTTCGGCCCAAAATCCCCCCTTGTGGGGGGGGACATGTCCGGCCTGAGCGCAGCGAGGAGGAGGAGGAGGAGGAGGAGGAGGAGGAGGAGGAGGAGGCCCTGCCGCGCTGGCATCCCGGGCCGCCGGGGCGGGGGGCGGCAGGGAGGAGCCCCCGCCTCGCGCGCCGCGCCCCTCGGCGCCGCGCGGCCCCCCTCGCGCGGGGCGGGCCCGCGCCCGCGCCCCGCGAGCGCGTGCGCGGGGGAGAGGGGGTGGGGCAGCACGGCCGCGGCTGCGGCTCGAGCTCTGAGCGGAGGCGGGAGGGAGGGAGGGAGGGAAGCAGGAAGGGGGGGGGGAGGGAGGAGGGAGGGAGGAGGAGGAGGGAGGAGGAGGGATGGAGGGAGGAGGAGGGAGGAGGGAGGGAGGAGGGAGGAGGAGGGAGGGCCCCGGGAGGAGGGAGGAAGGGAGGGAGGAGGGAATGAGGAGGGGGGAGGAGGGAGGGAGGGAGGAGGAGGGAGGAGGGAGGGAGGGAGCAGGAGGGAGGAGGAGGGATCGACGGCACCCCCACACACGAACACTGTGTGTGCGTCGGCCCCCTCAGGGGCGGCGCGCGCACCGAGAAATCTGATAGCTTTATGCGTCGTGCCGGGCGCTCTCTGACCGTACCGCTCGGGAGACGATATACCAGAATCCGGACGGAAAGAACACACACAATTCACCGCCAGCTCCCCGGAAAATATGGGAAAAGATGGGAAGTGGGGGTGAAGACAAACACCTAGAACATATTGGAGAATGTGGGGAGTCCTGTTATTTGTATCTATTTCTTAGTGTGCCCTACGGCGTGCTAGATACACGCTTCCGGGGAGGACACACGGTGCCAATATGTCCTTCAGCGCCCCGGGGGAGGGGGGGAAGGACTTCCGGTGTGCGCGGGGGGCTGCCACGACCCGCCTTCGGGTTTTTTGTGTATCACAAGCAAGAACAAAGTGCCGTCGCGCGACTTTGTTTTCATCCTGTCCTCTGGCGAGAGACGGCCGCTACCCGGGCCAAGCCCCTCCGCGCGCAGGAAATTGCGTGGTCCCAGGGTGTGCGCGGTACGGTCGATTCGGCTGAGTCGCAATCGGTTGCTTTTGGTCGGTTCGGTTCGGTCGGTCGGTTGTTGTTTCGTTGCCGCGTCTTTGCGCCCTTCTGTGCTGCCTGCGGCCTGTCGGGTTCGGGCGGTCGCGGTTTCGCTGTCGGTGCGGTCGGTTT